TTTGTAAAGAGAAGTGGTATTATTGTTTTATTGCCTAAAAGAAAAATAAATGTCAGCTTCCATGTGATGAATGTCATTCAGATAGGTAGATAAAATAGAGAGATGAAGATAGATAGATAGATAGATAGATAGATAGATAGATAGATAGATTTCAGTTTTTTTAATGTGATGACATTTTAATGAGTATCATAGGTGAACCAGGAAAACACATTGCTTTTGAAAGACTGAATTAAAATATAACTTACAAAGTTTCTTCTAGAGCCAAGGAATGGAGCAATGAAAAGGGTAATGTGATGACCATCTTGTAAGTGATGGTTTATGAGTGCATCCTCAGTGTCTGTGGATGATTTACAAGGGGTACCTGTCATTACAGTCAAAAGAGCAGCCGCTTTCTAGATTATATATCTCTATAAGTCATTGTGGTTGTAATGTGCAAAATGTATGATATTTCTCTACATCCAAGTCTCTTTATTAGTGGCACAGATATCTCATGTGTTTCTATTATATGTCTTTGTTAATTTTAAATGTAAATATTCTATTATCAATTTTATGATATAACCTTGGTATAATGCCCTGAAAATTTAAATACGCTTCAAAATTCTTTAACCCCCAATGGAAAGCATACAGAAAGCAACAACCTTTGAGATCACATGATTTGAAACAGTCATGACATGATACTGTTTTTGAAAAAAATAAAAAGCATAGTCTAGGAGGTATATTAAGTAAATCATAAGGTTTTTACATGGTGCTATGTAATGACTTGGTTGAGCATGCTGTGAGTACTTAGGGATTAAGCCATTCTTTGCTAGATGCCAAGAAAAAGTGGATGTCACTCTGCTGGACTTCTAATTCTTGGCAAAAGCTCTTTCCAAACACAGTAAGAAATTAAAAGCTCAGATGATTGGATTACTAAAATGTATAATGGTCAAAATGAACTGCAAAGTGGAAGTGTTTCAGAAATCCTGAGTTGTCTTGGACACAAAGCTAAGAAAAGTGGAGTGTTTCAAAGTATTAGGGTCTGTTTTCTAAAATACTTTTATATAGCTATAATTCCTATCATTTCATGTTATCTTGGCATCTTCTCATAAAAAGGGCAATAGCGATTTGGCTGTCATTGATTCAAAGGTTTCATGAGTTTTCATAGATGCATTGTCATTTATAACACAAAAACAAGAGACAACGGGGAACTACAAAAGATGCCAGTATTATCTATATGGTTAAACAGTTCAAACAACCCTGGCAATTTAAACACATGCATACTGATGCGTGCACACACACACATTCTGCTTCTTAGTAAATAACTTATGAAAACTCAAGGTTAAAATTAATTTTTAAATAAATCTCTGAGGAATATGAACCAGAAAGAACCTAATAGCTGCCCACTGTTTTGATTTCCTAATGGCATTTAGGAGCCATTGATGGAGATTCCCACTAAAGAAGGCTCTATCTACTCTATGCTATGAGTCCTGGACAGTGTTTTGGGTTTGGATCTTCACTTTTTTCTATGAGTACCAAATCTTGTCTGTTCTACTCTAAATAATGTCACATTCCACCATCCCAAATAATTGCATTTCCGGAGAAAAGGAGTCATCTAATAGCAAACAGCATGGTGTAGTTGTAATTCACCCTGTAGTTTTTATTATAATTGTTCTCACAATAACAGTATGGAATAAAGAGTATGCTCTCTCTTTGTTACTGATAATGGTACTAGAGAAGAGGGCACTCTTATGCCTAGAACCCAGTCTTTAAAAAAGTTGTACCAGATGGAGCTCCAAAGCTGAAAGGAGAAGTGGACACAAGCCAGAAGCTATCTCTGATAACCACTTACAAATATAAATTTAGTTTTCTCTGAAAGAGTTTCACTTGCAAAAGAAAAATGAGTTTTCTCCAAAGAAGACTCACTGGGGAAGCAAGCTACTCTTAAGGGCAGAGCACATGCCCAACAGTAGATCATCAACCGAAAATGCCCTCAACAGCATGTTTAGAGATTCCTTATGTCATAATGTCATGTAACAGGCTATTTTCTTTTTCTTTTTAAAATTATTTTATCTTTTTTTTAATTTTTTCTCTCTTTTTTATTTTACCCCATGCATACATTGTGGATTCCAGTTCTGTGTTTTTATGGGATTATGAGTATGCAAACAAATGTGTCCCCGAATCTATATCTGCTTCTTTGGATCTTTTTCTCCTGTTTGTTAGCTTTATCCTAATCTGATGTGTTTCTTTTGATTTTATCTTTCTTATTTTATTATTATCCCTTAGAGGACTTTTTTTGTTTTGTTTTCTGTGAGAGATGGAAAAGGAGTGAATCCAGGTAAACATTGAGGTAATGTAAAAATGGGCGGAGTAGGAGAAGGGAAACCATAATTAAGAATCATAATAGGAAATAATTCTCCTTTAATAAAAAAGAAAAAATGTGCAACATAAATATGATTCCTAAGTTATAATGATTAATCTCACTCATAAATTAATGGGCAGATCTAGTGGTGGATATAGGTGACACCTTGACGGTCCTTTACCTCCCCAAGGGGCTTTTTCCTACTCAAATTCTCTGTTCCACTTCTCACATCCCAAACCCTGCATCATACATCTTTTGGACTGTTAATGCTTCCCTGTCTTGTAACCACTCAGGGGATAGTGCTGATTCCTATGTCTCCATGGCATGTAGAGAACAACCTGCTTCTATCCACTTACTGGGATACAAGAATAAAACCACTCTTTACATCTTAAAAGGAAAAAAAACTGCAGTGCTTAAGGTGAAAATCATGTATGTTTAATACACACAATTATACATATATCTGTACTATACAGGTACACATAATAATATGTATGTGTAATATGAACTTAGCCTTTTCTGGAAACCTTTCATATGTGAGATTCTAAGCATATATATTGAGGATGAAGCATACTTTCAGAGGCACTAAAATTTTCTTTGGTTCCTTCTTTTATGAACTTTATTTGGACTATTTAAATTATGTAAATTGATCAACTGTATTAATTTAAACATGGATATACCAATGATGACTTCTTGAGAAATGTTTCAATTACATCTTCCTATCTAGAAATAAATAAGAACAAATAAAAAAGAACACATAGAGATCATCTGAGAATTAAACTCTTTCAATTTCATCATGTAAACAGGTATCTTTCACAAAAATGCCATTTACCTGCTGATGTTAAAATACTGTATAAATCTAAGCTATGCTTAATTTCTTTCATTTTATTTTGGTTGTTGGGATTTTTTCTTCTTTCTTTCTTGCCCCCTTCTAAGTTTGCACATGACTATATTTATTGCTACCAATTAAACTTGAGATATTACAATGGTAATAAAAATGTCATGTAGGATTTGCTTATGTATTTTTAAATGATATTAAAAGTGAGTTGTAAACTAGAGTGCATAAAAGAAAAATGTCCACAGGTATTGATCTTCCTTAAATAAGAATGCTTTGCTGTCACTGTGGTAGGAAGGCTTGCCACAGGTATGTGGACAGCTCATTAACTTATGATGAAGTGGCCTATTTTTAGACAATTAGAGAATTAATATACTATATGTTTTCTTATCTTTGAAGCCTACAGAATACTTCTGCAAGGTTTATTATAAATAGTTACATAAATCTTTGACCTTGAATTGTTAATTCAATTCATACAAAGAGACAAACTTTAAATATCTATCTGAAGAATTCCACAAGTAAAGTGACATACAGACTACAATACCCCAAACTATATTTCATCAATTGTCACCATGAGGCAAAAAAATTAAAAATAAAAGAAGCAGTTATATTAGTTTTCATTTTCATTTCTCTATTTGTACATAGCCCCAGCCTGGCCAATATATCACAGTCTCTAAAAAAGAGAAGAGTGGAAATAAAACACTGGATCTAATATTTTAGAAGTAAACAAAAGTTTTTATTTGACCAAAAATTCTTAATACATAGATAAATAAAATTATCATCCACTATGTAATGAAAAATATTATGGGGGAGCCTCCATAGGTTTAAAGAGAAATGGGGCACTAGGGAAATGTCCAGAAATCCACAAGGATGACCCCAACTAAGAATCTAAGCAATAGTGGAAGGACTACTTAAATGTCCTTCCCCTACAATGAGATTGATGATTACCTTAAATGCCATCCTAGAGCCTTCATCCAGTAGCTGATGGAAACAGAAGCAGAGATTCATAGTGAAGCACTGAGCTGAACTCCTGGAATCCAGCTGTGGAGAGGGAGGAGTTATGGGCAAAAGAGTCAAGACCATACTGGGGAAATCCCCCAAAACAGCTGACCTGAGCAAGTGGGAGCTCATGGACACCAGGCAGACAGCTGGGAAACCAGCATAGCACCAAACCAGGCCTCCTGAAATTGGGTGACAGGAGGCCTGGGCAGTCCATGGGATCTCTTGCAGTGGAATCAGTATTTATTTCTAGTACACAAATTGACTTTGGGAGCTCATTCCTCCATGTAAGGATACTCTCCCAGCCTAAATACACTGTAGAGTGCCTAGGTCCCACCCCAAATGATGTGCCATATTATGGTGATCCCCATAGAAGGCCTCGCTCTTGCTGGGGAGTGAATAGTGAATGGCAATGGGGCAGGAAAGAGTGGTTGATAGGAGGCATGGGAGGATGGGACAGAGAGGGAACTGGGATTGATATGTAAAATAAGATGGTTTCTAATTTAAACAAAAACAAACTGAAAAAGACATGATTAATAAACAGAAAGAGGTAATAAAGACCCCCAATGATAAAAAAAAAAACTACTTAATACATTCCAATTTTAAATAAGAATTTAAAATGTGTGTGTCAAGCAAGTGGAGTAAATATCAAACAATTTTCAAAATAATAAAGCCATGTGTGCATAATTCTATGATATTCAAACATTAAACAAATAGTGCTATTATATATGCTGAATGTCATTTGGGTTGCTTGTGATTTTTCTATGTAGTATATGACCTCATTGTCACTCGTAATGTTTCATCCTTCTACTTGAATTGCATGCACCTATCTTCAATAATTTAATTTTATTCCAAAGTTATGTTACAATCATGAGTATCTTCAGTCATATTTATATTGACTGTGTTATTATTTATAAAATATTGTAGCAATCTGATTACAATGACTCACAACTCTTCTTCTTGGGGTATTCTGAATCATTCTTGAGCTCTGGAAATTCTCCCTCTGGACCTATATTTAGAAGCAAGACAGAACTTTATTCTCTTTTTTGTTAACCTCATTGACTCACTTGACTTTGACCATTTCTGGTTTGCCCAAGCAACTCTCTTCATGTTTCATATTTGAAGTTCTTCAGTATCCATAAGAAGGAACAGTTTATATAACTGACAATAGCATTAATCCTGCCTTGCATGGAAACATTCATTTAGCCTCCATGTTTCCATCAGTCTTCTTTCCCAGTCACATGCCAAGGATACAGAAGGATAAGACCAGTATTCCAGCCTTACTCTGCTGGCATCCACACACAAGACCAAGTTGAAGGTACTATGTCTCTTTTGGAAACATTTTCCAGGTACAAGATAATGTAATTTTTTATTGAACAAGTTATAAAGGTAAATGGAACTGAAGAATATATTGTAATATTAATACCACTTTTGTCATTCAAATCTATCTAGAAATTAATTGATTGATATGGGGGTACCCAAGTTGGCACTGGAACTTGTACCTAGGAATGTGGCATGAAATCTGAGGACTATTAAGTATTCACCACATTTTCTGCATTTTCCCCTCCTTGGCATCCACAGCAATTCCTGATGAATGGGAATAGGGCATCCAAGTCCTAAATGAGAACCCTTCTCAGTTTTGCTCATCCTTGCTGTTTTTCTCTTGATTGGTCCTTAAGTTTAACCTATTTTGCATACATTTAGAATCCACCTAGGGTTCATAACCCCCACTAAGCACAGCATCTTCTCCAGAACCAACTTTCAGATATCTTTGTCTGTTCCTTTCCCACAAAGAGCTTTTGCCCTAAAACTCACTATATCCTGCTCACCTTCCACACTCTGCATTGTCTATGCTTCTCATTCTTCTTAGTTAAAATAACCTTGTGGGGAAGAAAGTATGAATCACTATTATTTTTATTTAAAACCTTGAAATGTCATAGACTGAATAATTAAAGAAATCTAATTTTCAGTTTTGTCTCTTTCATAAAAATTAAAGTCTTATAAATAATTTTCTCTGTGAAAACATACCATTGAATACAATCCTCCATGAACTATGCCTATTTTAAAGATTAAGATGATCAAAAATTATCTGATTCTCTTATTAAAATTTTGTATTTATTAGATTTTTAAAATTTTTTGCATAAGTCATTGTATAAATAGAATTTATATATATATATATATATATATATATATATATGTGTGTGTGTGTGTGTGTGTGTGTGTGTGTGTGTGTGTGATATAATTTATGTTAAAATGTCCATTATTTTCTTTGGTATAAGAATCCACAGAACCAAAAGCAGCATAAGAATGACAAATAGGAGCTTATTGATATAATACCCAGTAGTAAGATGTGCTTTGTGAAACTTAGATTAGGTTAAATAATTTATATTTGATTTTAAAAAGTTAGCTAATCTTTGGCCCACGTTATCTTCAAAGAGCATTAAAAATTAACCTCATCTCATTCATTACAGAATTTGGTCTGTCTCATCATTGAAATAGCAGCTTACCCATTGTGCTACTATGTATGTATATGTATTCAATGGAAGAATTACATCTCAAAATAGAAATATACCAGATCTAAATATTTTCCTAAACAACTGTCAATTTAGGTATTTAAATTCATATTACTTTGAATTATTATAATAGATATTTAAACTCCCTTTCACTGGATAATATCCAGAATTGGCACACAAATTATCCTAAACTGTAGCACTGTTAGAGAAAAACCTAATTCAAATACAGCCTGATTTATACTATAATCAATGCTCTTTGGACAACCCTTGGCTTTTCTTATGATCTTAAGATAAATCAGAAGGTTATCCAGTCTTGAATACTCTTATCTTGATGCTCTAGTCAGCTTTCTTTTTCTGTGATGAATGCCACAACCAATAGCAAGTTGGTGAGATTAAGGTTCCTTTGGCTTTCATGACCTGTAATTGAGGGAGGTGAGGACTGAAGCTCAGGTAGGAGCAGAGGCAGGATCAATGGAGAAGTATATTCCCTACTGGTTTGCTTACTATGGATTTCTCAGCTTGCTTTTTACACAACTGAAGACTACCTGCTGAAGGTTGGTACCATAAACAGTGAAGGGGTGCTCTCATGTCTATAATCAAATGAGAATATGCTTCATTAAAATTATTCTCACAGCTGAGCTTCCCTCTTTGCAGATGGCCCAGCACACCACACATCAGTATAAAAATGACTCCAGCTTTTCCTTAGGCTACATCATATGTTATTTTGTCAGTAATATCTAAAAATGTGTTTCTAATTGGTGTCATGTACCCCAATGTCTCTGTTAGATAATTTACTACCATTGCTGCATCCTTCCTAAGGACTCTCAGTAACCAGGAATTAACTAAAGTTAAAACAAAGGTAAAATAATAGTCTTAGTTGTTGAATGAAGAGAGATTCAAAGCTAAAGGATGTATCATTTATTAAAGTTCATTCTCAATTTTGCTTCATAATTCAATATTTAAGCTCAAGGAAGAAACAAATAGTAAATACTATCACAGATTTGTATGGGAGCAAGACAACACTATGTACTACATAAGTAGACAGAATGGTTTGGTCTTTTTCTGAGATCTGAGACAGACAAGAAAGAGTCCAGTCATATCAACATAGGAGTCTCACTATCAACTGATAAATCAGAACCAATTATTAAAAGAAGCTTCCATTGTATTTAAACAACCATTGATTCTCTCAAACTAGGTAACAGCCCTTCAGAGAAATAGATTCCCATGTAGAATGCAAAAGCCAGCCAGGTGGTTGTGGCACAAGCCTTTAATTCCAGTACTCCACAGGCAGGTGGAGCTCTATGAGTTCAAGGTCAGCCTGGTCTACCAAGGGAGTTCAAGGACAGTCTTCAAAACCATACAAAGACACCCTGACTTGAAAACACAAACAAACAAAAAGAATATAAAAGTCCTTCAGGAAACTGGTTTCAATAACTCCTCTGAGAATTTATAAAAATATTTAAATGTGGGTGATAAGCCAAGGATATGCAGTTATAAATAAACTATACTACTTTTCTTCTTTTGTACAGTCCAGAGAATTTTTGTGAAAGCCAAACTCACTTGTCTTATAGCCATTTACATGCGGACACCTTTCCCTATTTATTTGCTGTCTCATTGACTCATCAACTCTAAGGAGCATCTACTAGATTCAGTGAGTGACAGAAGTCATGTGAGAACCAAGAGTTGTGGTACTTTAAAAACAGTTTTATTTCTTCTATACTGATATTTGTACACAACCTAAACTGACAACAAAAACAGTCATTTCCAATCATCCCGTGGGTATTATAACAGGATATTCCCAAATATTAAGATTATATTTGTAAAAGAACATTTAGGATAAGAAACTCAATCTCATTTTTTTAATCTAGTACTGTGCTATCTGTGTGAAACTATGAGGAAAAAAAGGACATAATTACTAGAAAAGAGGAAACATTAACACATTTGTCACTTGTTAAATACTAATAATACATCAGAAAGCATAATATTTTAAAAACCATTATAAATATGCCAGGCAGTAGTGGCATACTACTTTAATCCCAGCACTTAGGACATAGAGGCAGACAGATCTCTGAGACTGAGGTAAGCCTGATCTGTAGAACAAGTTCCAGGACAACCAGGGATGTTGTAATTTCAGAAAGGGTGCATGTGGGAGAGAAAGACACCATGGGCCAGTGTTCAGGCAGAGGGATTTTTTATTAGGGGAAGGGATCATAAAAAGGGGAAAGATAGTGGAGAAGAATAGCCTCCAGAGACAGGAGCAGCAGGGGATGGGAGAAAGAAAAGAGGAGAGAGAGAAGAAAGGGATGAAGAGAGAGAGAGAGAAGGAGAGAGAAGGGGAACAGACAGAGGGAGAGAAAGAACATAGTAAATATGCACAAATGGTGCTCCCAAGGACAGGCTAGTACACATGCCTGAATACTAACAAGGAATACACAGAGAAATCCTATCCAAAGACAAAGAAACAAAAATTATATGTGTCTGCAAAGTGATATATTAAAAAGTGCCAGAAGATAATGCAAAAAAAGTAAACTGGATTATTAATTCCTACTCTACAACAACAAAAAAATGAAGGATGAGAAGACTCCAAGTGAATTAAGAATTTAAATGTGAAACTAACTCATGAAATTAAAACATTAAAAAAAAACATTCCTTATGTGAGTCAGGAAGAAATTAGAAATTCCAAAATAGGACAATAGAATTTCTGAGATAAAATTTTATGACACTTTAGTTTGCATCAATACTATTAACATCTCTGCATCAGTACATACCTTGTAGGCAAAACCAGGTCATAAAATATGGCACATACTTGAAACAAATATTTTCAACACATATTATTGACAAAGTAGTTTACAGTATATGAAAGAGAAAGAGCTGTAACCAAATACAGAAGTACATCCTAATAATGAATAGTTCAGGAAAGCATCTTATGAAGTGAAAATATATATTAGATATATGGACCAATGTTCAAGATAAATTATCATAAATATTAAGTCAATACTCAAATGATACTACATCCAATACATAATGAGCTGTAAAAATTAAGCAGACAAGATATAGACTACTATAGAACTAGAATGTCAAATATTACAAAGTCAATGTCAAATTAGGTAAAAATATAGTTGGGTAAACTCTGACATTGTCATGTAACTTATTATCTCCATTCTTTCACAGACTATCTGATGGCTTCAATTTCCTCTCTTTTCTGTGGGTAATTTCATTTATTGTGTGGCTCTGTTGCTTTTACCTAGAGGTAGAGTGAATTTTGGATCCTAAAGGCTACACTTATTCTTGTGATTTCTGTCAATAATAAACTCAAAATTCTGGTTGCATTGAATCTTGTCATCCCTCTCTGTTCCAAAATTATTATTACATGTTCTTTCCTATTCTTCATGAATACAAAAGGTGTCATGGAAAAACCCAAATCACTCCAACCCCCAAACACAAAGTATACAATCATTTTTCTACCTTCCAGTCCCAATAACATTCAAAGTCAATCCAACCATATGGATTATCTCAAGGTAGACCATCAGAGGAGCTTCTCATTGGAGTTCAGCCCAATCTGAACTATAATATTTGTGTTTCACACAAATATTTGTGTTTCAATAATACAAATTAAAACACACAAGTGATCTATAATATTATAAATCAGAGTGAGTGCTGTTTTGAAACAGCATATTTTAGTGCATTACAATTATAGCTAAATGAGGGAAGAAATGTTACACAACTATAGTATCACATAGTAAAGTTAGCCTAGGATAATCTAGGTTTATATCTGTGCTAAACAAACCTTTTCCTTTAAAAAGTATTATAATGTAGAATTTAAGTATATGATTCTTATAATCAACAATTCCCATTTTAATCATGTGTTCTAAGTAAGTAATTGGACATAAAAAGAATAATGGAAACCCTGTTTATTACAATAAGCATTCAAAATTATAATAGACCATAAATAGATTTAAAATATATGTTGTTTCACATAATAGAATATCACATATAATTTTTAATACCAATATATGTGACTTTAATAAAATACTATTGAATAAACTTATTTGAGATTTGAAAATATCTTATTGAAATATACATTTTGAGAAAATATATGTTTTTTTAGGAGTGGGCTTGAGAACAATTCCTTTTGGACTATCATAAAATTGGCATTGTACAATAGGAGTAAGTAGATTTGTGATGAAAGACTTGGTGGCAGATGTAAAATTATATCCAAGAAGTTCTGAGGAGCTAATCTGTATTTTATCCTATAGAGTCAAATAGTTATAAGATGTCATGTAATTTAGACCAGGTCTAGAAGCATGTCTTCTGCTGAGATAATGCTTGCTATACAATATTACCATATAAAATCATCCACTGACCAT